AGCAAGCAAACAGGTAGTGGACAAGATCAGAGATGGGACGACAAGATGTAGTAACGTCCAGAATGGAAACACCTCGTTGTGCCCCTGATCGAATGACAGCCGAGTTCACATCATGCATGTGACCGTGTTTCGCATGGAGGTACGTTCAGATGTTCCGATTTCAGCCTTTTCAGGCGTTGTGAAATCTCGATTTCGCGTTCCTAATTTCAAATCTTCGTGCCGCAAGGAAGTAGAGAAAACGCACAAACACTCAGTGACACGCACCCACACGCACGTGCACACAATCAACACACACCTACACACAACGCTTACACACACCCACACGCACACCCTACTTCAACACAGGTACACGTACACCTACATCCGAACACACTTTCCTTACACTGCCAAACCCGAGCATGCACCCCCACACACCGGGAGAGAGAGAGAGAGAGAGAGAGAGAGAGAGAGAGAGAGAGAGAGAGAGAGAGAGAGAGACGAAACAGCGTGTGACATTCACCATCGTAAACACAAAAATCCAAAACACGCACAAACACAGAGTTGAACTACATTATCTCTCGTAAGAATCAAGCTTGTCCGCTAACTCCAGTCCAAAACATGGCTGCTTAAAAAAAAAAAAAAAAAAAAAAGAAGGGCTGCTCTCCGATCGACACCGGGACATGAAGCTGACTTACGTTTCAGTCTACTTGCTAACAGGAAGAAAAAAAAAAAAAAAAAAAAAAAAAAAAAAAAAAAAAAAAAAAAAACCTCCACCGACTACCGGGGCGAAAAGGAAAAAAAAAAGAAAAATGTATTTGATACAGTGGATATCTTCGTCCTGTCAGCACACCTGAGCGTTTCTAGCTTGTGTTGCTGGAACAACAACAGTCTGCATCTCACCTTCTTATTTGGAATCCGACTGCAGATACACAAGTAAATTTAAAAAAAATACAAAAAATACGAAAATTAAAAACATTAAAAAAGTAAAAAAAAATCCGAAATGCAACGCAAGCTAACATGTATTACTGTAAGAAAACCCATCATTGGAAATTCTCCACAGACAAAAAATATATATATATCCTTGTACACGCGTTATCGCACGGGCGCAGGGAAATGAGGGGAGAGGAGGGGAAAGAAAGGGAGGGGGAAGGAGGGGGAGGAGACTGGAGCGGAAAGGGAGCCGGGGCGTAAGGAAGAGAGAAAGTGGAGGAACAGCTCACATGCACGAGCGAGGTCATCGTTGTTGACGCAGTGGCTGTCGAAACGATTCGTCCGTCCTTACGTAGCTGCCCCTCTCCCAAGCACCCACTCTCTTTCTCTCGTCCTTTCCTCGCATGACTGCTGCGAGCCGACTACAGTCCTCACTGTGTGAGCATTGAGAGAGAGAGAGAGAGAGAGAGAGAGAGAGAGAGAGAGAGAGAGAGAGAGAGAGAGAGAGAGAGAGAGAGAGAGCACTGTAACACAACCGAGTCACAGGCGTGCGGGCGAGAGAGTGACGCAGAGGGAGAGAGAAATCGATGAACGATCGACACAAGCAGGCGCGCCCGNTTTAAACCAAAAAAAAAAAAAAAAAAAGCAGGAATTTTTTTCTGCCATTTTTTATCATGACATGTATGGTCCCTGAGTACACCTGTTTTTTTTTAGAATTGGATTTTTGTTCTTCGCAGGCAAATGAGGTGTTTGAAAAAAATGCACATGCAAAATTAAAAAAAAAAAGGTTTGATTGATTGATTGATTGTCAATGATTCATTGATTGATTGAGTGTGATTGTGTGTGTGTGTGTGTGTGTGTGTGTGTGTGTGTGTGTGTGTGTGTGTGCGTGAGTTTGTACGCGCGTGTGTGTGTGATGTGTGCGCGCGCGCGCGCGAGAGAGAGAGAGAGAGAGAGAGAGAGAGAGAGAGAGAGAGAGAGTCGGTATGCAACCGATTTACACACGCGAGGGAGAGGATTGTTGTTGTTGTTGACGCGATGGCAGTGACTTGTTCTTCTTCACTCCTTTGGCCCATGACTTGAGTGCCGTCTGCACTACTTCGGGCAGGAGCGCCCGTCTGTAGGACGTGCCCATCTGCGCCACAAGCGCATAGAGCGGCAAAGTGACATAGGAACTAAGTACCAGCAGCAGCACGGAGAATATCAGCCTCACACTGATCACTGTTGGCTCTTCCTGCAAGCACGAATCTAGTCCAAATTTCCACGAATAGAATATGAATGCCGCCAGATCCAATGAATTTGCGAAAAAGATGAAGTGTATAAACACCAGCAGCAGCGATGGCTTGCCGAACCAGAACAACTCGTCAGTTGGCTTGGGATCGGTGGCCACGAAGTGCCCACTTCCCGTCGAGCTCTCGGCCGAGATCGTCCTCAAGATTGCGACCAGCTTCGTCCCGACACACATGCAGAGTAGCAGTCCCAACATCTCAAACCAGAAGAAGATCGCGTTATGTCTCATGTTAAACACGAGCAAGAAGACGAGCACCAACCACATGGGTATACTTATCCCCACCACATTGGCGAAGTCCTCCTCCATGCATCGTACTAGGTAATCATGGAAGTCAAACTTCATTTGCAAGTTGTGATTCGTTATGAACAGCATGCGCAACGTCAAATAATCAGCTTCGCTAAGCGATCGCACAAACTGCAGGAAGAAGGAGGCGACCCAGAAGCGAGGAGTGCGACAAACTACCCTGGAGTCGATAGCATAGACGACGGCTTTGCGATCTCTAAGGCCAGCGAAACGCAGCTTCTCCTCTCTCGTCGAGGCTGCCTCCGCATCTCTCAAGTACTCTGGGGTCTGCGCTTTCTCCTCCCACGCTCTCCACCCTTGGATCCGCATAAACGACAACAAAAATGCCAAGGAGGAGTACACGATCATTACGATCGCCAGGATGAAGATGAAGTAGTGCACGTAGTGCATGGCGTCGAAGCTCATGAACGGCTCTTTGCCGGCCGAACAGAAGTCACCCCTTAGCTTCGAGCCCTGCATCACTTTCTCGCCAGAATCTGGGGCTGCAAGAAGCTGCCTTGCCCCCCCTGACGTCCAAGACAGTGAAGACACCCTCCCTCCTCTTCCACCATCATTTCCAAGCCACGGAAGAACATCTCCCACACCTCCTCTCTCTCCATTCCTCCTCCTATTAATCATTCCTCCTCCTCCTCCTCCTCCCTGTCCTCCTCCTCCTCCTCCTCTTCCTCCTCCTGCTGCTGCTGCTGCTACTGCTCCTGCTGATGATGATGTTGCAAGTAGATGCCTTCCTTTAGGACCGCCTTCCTCTCCTTCTCCTCCTTCTCTTTCTCCTTCTCCTCCTCCTCCTCCTCCTCCTCCCCCTCCTCCCCCTGCTGCGTGATCACTTGTTTTTGAGTGTGCTGATCCCATCGTGACTGTGGTGTTCGGGCTGGGAAACGTGCTGTTGACGTCAACAAGACCGGAACGCACGAGCTCCTCCCTTGCGCAGGGGATCCAGTCATAACCGCGGGTCTCTTGTACACACCAGCGAGTTATATCCTGCTGGAAGATGGTAAGCAGCAAAGAGATGAAGCCCAGCAACATTAACTCTTCCTTAACCGTCTCGATGGCGTGGTACAAACCCTTTTTCCGGCGCTTCTTAAGATACACAGCCAGATGATGAAGGCCCTTTTCGAACATTAACGACACGGCAACGAATACAAACACGATGAAGGCCACTCGATAGGTCGGAGTCTGCTCAAGGTTCTTGTCCTGAGAAGCCATCTCTACCCTCTTCTTCTTCTTCTTCTTCTTCTTCTTCTTCTTCTTATTCTTATTCTTATTATTCTTATTTTCCTGCTTTTTTCAATGATCCTTCCACTACTCTCTTTCTTTACAATTGCCTTGGCAGCAGCTTTGCTCCTTCCCTCCTCCTCTGCTGAGTCTGCTCTTTCTTCTCAGTGTTCTCACCTTCCTCTTCCTTCCTTCTTTTTCTGCAACAATTGAAATTTCAACGAAAAAAAAAAGACAGAAGAGGTTCCTGCCTCTCTTTCCTCCTAATCTGCCAGACGCCCTCTTGTGCTACGTTGAAGTTTCTCTCTCTCTCTCTCTCCCTCTCTCTCTCTCTCTCTCTCTCTCTCTCTCTCTCTCTCTCTCTCTCTCTCTCTCTCTCTCTCTC